CTTCGGGCTGTGACTTATTTGTTTTTCTTTCCTAATTGGCCTTCCGATACATGGGTTTATGTCAATTGCGCAACCTGGCATTTCAGTTTCCTTATGCGTACATCCCAGGATGATTTAATTATTTCCTGGGTTCATGTCCATGTGTGTAAGGCTTGAAAGTTTCAGCAGAAAGAAAGAGGAAACCACACAACCATGATATCAGTACTGTAGTCCTCACAACCATAGCATAGCATCCAGGGACTCAGCTACGTTAGTCAAAAGCAACACTTTGAATGCGTTATAAACATGCAATGCCAGATGGCGCCCAGAGAGCAAACAAATTTTCTATGTGATTTTTACATAGGTTTTCCCCCCTTTCTTTTGTGATAACTATTTAATTTCTGACTTATTTATAGCGGGGGGGGGGGGTTCTGTGTGTAGATCTACCACAGGTCATTCCTATAATTTGGGATGTCATGGGGTTCTCCATACCTTACATTAGAGAGGTGGCCACACTCACAATGTAATATTGTAATTATGGTGAAATTACATCATTTAAAATCTAGACAAGGACTATAATTTTCAGCCTGTTTTTTTTGTAAATATAGCTTAGCATCATTTTATTACTTATACAGCCAATAGTACATTTTCCATACAACCTCGCATATTTGGCATTTGACTTGACTGACATGTAATATTCTAGCACTTTTAAAAATTTCAGATGTCACTCCTAATGTAGCCAGTGTAGACAATGGCGATCTAGATGGACCCAAGGTCTCACTCAGTTTAAGGCAGCTTCTTATGTTCCCAAATGTCTAATCAACCAAATTAGCCAGTCTTTCAAATATTTTCATACTGTCTCGGACCCTGCCATAAATAACCAAATAGTGGGAAGATAAAAGACTGTTTATGTATGCAACAACTGTGGCAAGAATTATTTTAGCCCCAAAGTGGAAACAACGAGAAGTACCAACAAAAGAAGAGTGGCAGATGAAGATGATGGACATTGCAGAACTGGCAAAGCTGACAGGAAAAATCCGAAACCAGCAGGATCAAGTATTCCAAAAGGACTGGAGTAAATTTATTAGTTGAAAGATTATTGTAAGCAATTAACATCACTAGCAGAGTTGTCTGAAGACTTGTAATGAGAAAATTTCTATTTTTCTATTTTCATTTAAATTTTGAGCTATTTTGTAATGAGTGTAATTAGAATTGGGAAAACGTACAAAATGCAGTGATATAAAGGTTAATTTTGAAAGCCATGAGGTGGGAGGGAAGGAAGTTGACAAGCTCTAAAGAGCCAGAGTATATATAACACCAAATAGTATACAGGCAACTCCCTGTTTGTGCGAGGGTTGCGTTCTGGGTCATTGCGTGTTTGTGAAATCACGCGTAATCAAAATACCCATTGAAGAAGCCTGCAAGCACCCCATTTTGGCCCTGCCCCATTCTGTCCCTTTTTGTGATGTTTCTGGGTCACTTCCAGGTTTAGCGTGGTGTGTGTGTGTGTGTGTGTGTGTGTGTGTGTGCAGTTGTGCACATATCAGACGCACCCAAAGCGGTCACTGCCTGTATTTGTAGTAATCATAGTATTGATGGTAATAACAAATTCACTGTCAATTATATCATTTTTTAACCCAAGAAATCCCAAAATTGGGGAGATGCCAAAAATCTAATCAGAGTTTCTCTTAAAGAAAGGTGGTGAGTGGTTGGTTGGAAGACCCTGAGTGAGAGGCAGGGAAGGCAAGGTCCCAGGGTGAGAGACTGGGAGAAGAAAAGGAAGAAGAAGAAGAAGAAGAAGAAGAAGAAGAAGAAGAAGAAGAAGAAGAAGAGTTGTTTGGATTTGATATCCCGCCTTTCACTCCCTTTAAGGAGTCTCAAAGTGGCTAACATTCTCCTTTCCCTTCCTCCCCCACAACAAACACTCTGTGAGGTGAGTGGGGCTGAGAGACTTCAGAGAAGCGTGACTAGCCCAAGGTCACCCAGCAGCTGCATGTGGAGGAGCGGAGACGCGAACCCGGTTCACCAGATTACGAGACTACCGCTCTTAACCACTACACCACACTGGCTCTAGGAAGGAAGGTCCTAGGTGAGAGCTGAGAGGGTCTACCTCTTTCTGTGCATAGCTGTCAACTTTTCCCTTTTTTAAAGGGAAATTCCCTTATTCCGAATAGGATTCCTCACAAGAGAAGGGAAAAGTTGACAACTATGTTTCTGTGTGTGACAAGGGTTAAGGGCTATGGACTCTGTATTTTTCTTTCTTTCTTTCTTTCTTTCTTTCTTTCTTTCTTTCTTTCTTTCTTTCTTTCTTTCTCTCTCTCTCTCTCTCTCTCTGTGTGTGTGTTTTTGTTTTTATGTAGATTAGCTCCTTTTATTTCATTGTATTAGGAAAAACCTTTAATAAAATATTATGGGTGAAGGAATAAAATAAAGAAAGCAGGTGTGAATAAACTTGACCCTCCAGATCAGGGGTATGCAACCTAAAGCCTGGGGGTGAGATCCGGCCCAATCGCCTTCTCAATCCAGCCCGTGGACGGTCCGGGAATCAGTGTGTTTTTACATGAGTAGAATGTGTCCTTTTATTTGAAATGTATCTCTGGGTTATTTGTGGGGCATAGGAATTTCTTTATTTTTTCCCCTTCAGAATATAGTCTGCCCCCCCACATGGTCTGAGGGGCGGTGGACTGGCCCACAGCTGAAAAAGGTTGCTGATCCATGCTCCTGATGTTGCTAAACTATAATTCTAATCATCCCCAGCCATTGCCATGCACGCTGTGGTCAATGGAGATTGTAGCATACTAGCAACAAGGAGAGGGCCCCGCTCCAGTAGCAAAGCTTTAAAAAGTGGAAATGTGCTGCTACCTTGTGGAAGATGAGAGTACTCCTCAGCACTTGTATGTTTATTATAAACACAAGTGGGACCTGTAAACAAAGCGTCAAGCATGCAGTGTGTGTGTGTGTTTGTGTTTGTGAACTTTCCAGGAAGCATTTCTGAAGCCCTCAACCACCTTCCCTGGCTTCCCACACTTCCTATTCTGAAAAAGCACAAATGGAGGGACTGCAGTGTTTTGCTTTCCCCAGTTTTAAGTGGAGCACAGACACCCAGAAATGCTAAAGCATACAGACCACTGCTGAGATGATTTGTAGAACTGAGTTAAAACAGTGAAAAGGGTTACAGCACCTTCACTGTTGAGGGAAGACTAAGGGTTGTATCCCACCAAGTTCTACTCAAAGCAGACCCACTGAAATTAATGAGTCAATCATGCCCATTAATTCCAACCAGTCTACTAGGACTAGCATAGCCTACAACCCTAGGAGGAGGGGCAAGGATAGGCTGGGCCTGCCCCTCCAATGTTGCTGTGGAAAGGGAATTCTGTTGAAGGAATCCAAAGGCTTGCCATGCTTTCGTCCGAATCCCTGGAATGGGGCTAGGGCCGGCAAGCCCTAGGGAGCATGTGGGGAGAAGTGAGGGCCTGTCGCTCAGCTCCATTTCTCCCCATTATTGTTTTCCCTTACTGGCTTTCGGTGGTATCTGGAAGTCAGTTCTGTCCCCAGGCGGGGGGGACAGATAGTCTTAACCAATGCCTAAGCAACCACTAACAATCATGTATGTTAATAAAGTTGTGGCAAAAAATATGCCAAAAACCTTTAAAAAAATTATGTGTGTGTTGTGAGTTATTTGAAGGGTGGCTTGGGGACCTCAACACGCAAAAGGCTCGTCCGTCTCAAAATCTGCCTTGTGTGTTACTTGCTCCATCGTTTTTTGCAGATGAACCGCAAGATGTTTCTACTGACCTTACGACAGGCAGATTTACATAAGGCAAAAACCCCACTTCCTGCTAATTAGCAGTAAGACACACACAAAAAAAGGTTTTCGGAATTGATTACATGGCAACTTGCCTGGCAGTGTAGTGACGTAAGATATGACAGCCACCCTCAAGCTGGTGCCTTCCAAATATTGTTGGACTGCAGCTCCCATCAGCCAAAGGCTGGGGTACAGTCAGGCAAATGGCTTCTCAACAGCCTTGGGGGTAGCTGGTGCAAATGTCTTTGTCTGAGAGGAGGAGGAACCTACATACAGTGGTACCTCGGGTTAAGAACTTAATTCATTCTGGAGATCCGTTCTTAACCTGAAACTGTTCTTAACCTGAGGTACCACTTTAGCTAATGGGGCCTCCCACTGCCAGCATGCCACAGCGACACAACTTCTGTTCTCATCCTGAAGCAAAGTTCTTAACCCGAGGTACTATTTCTGGGTTAGCGGAGTCTGTAACCTGAAGCGTCTGTAACCCGAGGTACCACTGTATTGAGTTGGGATGGCTTCCCATTCCCCCCGCCCCATTCGTAAATGTAATACCATACGAAGGGCCTGATAGATCTGGCCAATGGTCCATCAAGTCCGGCATCCTCTTCTCACAGTGGTCAGCCAGATGCTTGTGGTGACCCCTCAAGGAGCACCTGAGCATGAGAGCACTCTCCCCTTCTGAGGTTTCCAAAAACTGGTACTCAGAAGCATTACTACCGCCAACTGTGGAGACAGAGGAAGGCCATCTTGGCTAGTAAACATAGATAGCCTTATCCTCCATGAATTTGCCCTACTTGTCCACTGTCGCTTATTCCAAGTGTCTTCCCTAAGCCTTTTAACCAGGGAAGACTTTAGCAGAATGCCCCATAGATTCCACTTGGGCCCTTTTTTCCATCCTGTGACCACTTAACTTGGGAGAAAACCCAGCAGAACACAAGAGGATTTGCTCCCGAGGGAACATCTGTAGGATCCTGCAGTTACCATAATGTGTTTCAAGCTATTTCATTGTATCAAATGCCAATAGCATAACTCCACCCCCTAAATTTGAAACGAAACAAGGGCATGTCACTTATCCCAGTGCTTGTTATTCACAGGACAGGACAGAAGGAGGCAGAAGCGAGCCTGTTTCTTTGTTATTCTCATTTATTTTGAATCAGTTGATGCATTTGTTTACTTCTGCTAGTGATGTGCACAGCCCTTTTCAAAGGACAAGAAGGTGGGGTCTCCATCCCAAGGACCTTCCCATCTAACATTCAGCACAAGGGACACAAAGGAGCACTTGAAGCAATCCATCATTCTTGCATGCTTCATTGTATATCTTCACATGTGTAAAAAGCCCAGAAACTTTAAAATCTAAACAAGGGGTCTGGAATATCCATGGGGTGGTGGTGGATAGGTTTCTCTGTGGCTACACCTCTGTACAGATATCCTTTTTCTTGTCCCACTAACCTTGTGGTTCCCAGTGAGGACTATGTGGTAGAAAATCTTCGTAGCTTGCAGAAGGTTCCGTGTTCAATCTCTGGTACCTCCAGGCAAGGCTGCGATTTGTACCTTGTCTGAAAACCCCTGGAGAGCCACAGGTGATAAACGTAAACAAAACCAAGCTTGATGGACCTCGGTATAAGGCCAGGCCAGATTATTTTAAGTAGCACACTTTCAATTGGAATTATGCATGGTTGGCATTTCTGGTGGGGAGTGGGAAATAAGACTTTAGAAAGATTGTCCTTTATAGATTGTTTTCACTGGATGTTCCTGCCCAGTTAGACTCTTATATACCTGTATGAGAGGAGAGGTGGCTTCCTTCGAAGAGTGTAAGATTTTCCATGAGTGGCTTTTCTTCCCTTAAAAGACTCAGAAGTCGGTAAGGAGGAATGAACAGCCCTGCGTGGCCAAGAACTTATGTCACACAGGGAACCATAGCAGGGTTGATGTTTAGCAGTGGCTATCTCTTTGGAAGCATTCGGAATTACCGGAACAACCACATGGATGGATGGCGGTGTTAACATAACATCTGAGTTGCGAAGCTGGGAGGAATGCGTGACACTGAGTCTGTAGCGAGCCATGTTGGTGGAATAACCAGAAGGATCTACAATGACAGCCACAACAAAAATGCAGGGAATTAGATTACCGATATATCATTTCTATAGTGTTTTTCTTTTAAAGTATTTTTTTTTAAAGGAAAGGTTGTTTAAGATGAAGAAAAATTAGAACACAATAGAGGTGACATGATAGAAGTTTGTAATATTATGCATGGCATGGATAGAGAAAAGAAGAAGAAGAAGAAGTTAGGAGCTGAGAAATACAGATCATATGAGATTAGGAACTGCTTAAAGAACAGAAGAAGAAGAAGAAGAAGAAGAAGAAGAAGAAGAAGAAGAAGAAGAAGAAGAGGAGGAGGAGGAGGAGGAGGAGGAGGAGGAGGAGGAGGAGGAGGAGTTGGAGTTGTTGTTTGGATTTGATATCCTGCTTTATCACTACTCAAAGGAGTCTCAAAGCGGCTAACAATCTCCTTTCCCTTCCTCCCCCAAAACAAACACTCTGTGAGGTAAGTGGGGCTGAGAGACTTCAAAGAAGTGTGGCTAGCCCAAGGTCACCCAGCAGCTGCATGTGGAGGAGCAGAGACGCGAACCCAGTTCACCAGATTACGAGACTACCGCTCTTAACCACTACACCACACTGGCTCTCATGTGTCTCCTCCTTGAGAGGTCCAGAGGGTGACAGCTCGTGAATGGGACCTTCTACCACTCTTAACCACTACACCATGCTGGCTCTCACTCTCTGCTCCCTGTGATTCAGGGACATCCAATGAAGTTGAACACTGGAAGGTTCGGGACAGTTATGGCTTCTTTGATTCCCACAGAATCATAGAACTGAAGAGTTGGAAGGGACCCCAAGGATCATCAAGTCCAACGCCCCTGCAATGCAGGACTATGCAGTTGTCCCATACGGTGATCAGACCTGCAACCTTGCTACTGGTTAAACTATGGAATTTGCTCCCGCAGGAGGCAACAGTTGGCTCCTACTTGGATGGCTTCAAAAGAGACAAATTAGACAAATTGATGGAGGAGGAGGAGGATATCAGTGGCTACTGGACATAATGGCTAAGCTTTGCCTCCACAGGCTCTTCATATGTTTTGAAACACAAACAATGGGCAAATTGCCCTCACACATTATGCAGGTTCTCAGTCATCTGTGCTATATAAGCCGTTCACCAAGCTGAAACGCTATGAATCACCAATGCTGTTCTTTATTCCTTTCTGCTCTTTCATGCTATTTCTGTCTGGGGTTTACCACTGCACAATTATTTATTATTTATACACCACCTTTCTAAATGGGTTGCCCCAGCCACTTTGGGCAGCTTCCAATAAATAAATATAAATATATATAAATTAAACATTTAAAAATCTTTCCTATGCAGGGCAGCCTACAGATGGCTTGGGGGGGGGGGGTCACATAACTCCATACCATCCAACATTTCTCTGGTGGAAGTTGGGACGTCCTACCAAACCCTCCAGATTTCATTGAAAATTCCAATGAAAATAGAGCCGTCCTAAGGAAAAGCAGGTGGTGCTGTGGGTTAAACCACAGAGCCTAGGGCTTGCCAATCAGAAGGTCGGCAGTTTGAATCCCCACGATGGGGCGAGCTCCCATTGCTCGGTCCCAGCTCCTGCCAACCTAGTAGTTCGAAAGCAAGTCAAAGTGCAAGTAGATAAATAGGTACCGCTCCGGCGGGAAGGTAAACGATGTTTCTGTACACTGCTCTGGTTTGCCAGAAGCGGCTTAGTCATACTGGCCACATGACCTGGAAGCTGTATGCCAGCTCCCTTGGCCAATAAAGCAAGATGAGTGCCGCAACCCCAGAATCCAGTCCCAGAGTCCAGTCATCCACGACTGGACCTAATGGTCCGGGGTCCCTTTACCTTTACCATTAAGGAAAAGTGGGGCATTCCGGGAACAAATCAGAAACCGGGACAGCTTCTGTAAATCCAGGACTGTCCCTGTAAAATAGGGACCCCTGGAGGGTCTGCAATAACTAAACGGAGCCTTGTTGGATCAGACCAAAAGCCCATCCAGTCCAGTATCCTGTTTTCACAGAGGTCAACTGGATGTTTGTGGGAAGCTGGCAAGCAGGTCCAGAGTGCAACAGCACTTTCCCCGCTTGTGATTCGTGCCAGCTGACACGTTGCCTTTGACAGTGGAGGGAAAACATGGCCATTTAGTAAATGTTCATCCTTGACCAGCTCTAAAGTGCAGGCAAGAAAGAAAAACAATTTAGAGTCTTACCTAGTGATTGTAGAGAAGCGGGTTACATCTGTTCCAGCCAAATTGCTTGCTGACTTAGGAATGACAGACACATATATACAGCCTTGAATAATAACACACCATCTAAAGGAGGGCTCTGAGCACAATTCAAATTGCTCTAAATTAATGTTTTCATCTTCTTTGCTGCTGTTAGCTCATCCCCCGCAGAATGATGTTTAGACTCCTGCCCAATGTGTATAATTTTGTAATGGAATGAGCCTGGAAACAGACCAGCAACGTTCAGTCTACAAACTCCAAGGTGCGTTTAAGTCAGTGATCTGTCTCTGACCTTAGATACTGCCTTCAACCATGAAGGATGAGCATAGCTATCATGACTGGTAGCCATTGACAGACTGGTTCTCTGTGAATAGGCTTACCACCCATGAAAAACGTACACAAAAGTGACCTGCACCCAAATGTGTGTGAATTTCCTAAAGCTAGGTTGGTTGCAGTGGCATAGCATGGTTTGCCAGTGCCCGGGGCTACACAGAGGGGTGGGTGGGTGGGAAACAGATGGAGTACACATGCACATTCAACTGCCTAATGGCATCTGTGTCACCCAGGAGATCACAGCTGCAGAGATAAGAAAAGAAGAGTCGTTCCATTATCTGGAGAGGTCACTTCCTGGTTCTCATGGAGAAGCCGTTTACAATGGAGCCCAGAGATGGTAGTGAACAGCTGTATTGAGGCAGCACCGGGTGCTGAAATTTTGCACCCATAAAAATATTGTGCCCAGGGCAACCACCCTTGTGGTCCCCGACATGCTATGCCACTGGTTGGCTGTGTGAGCGTCTGGGCCCACACACATTTGTGTCTGACTCTTCACAGTGTTGCCCAGTGACTTTTTTCCCCTTCACACTACAGTCACTGGTGTGAATGAAATTTGGCACAGCGTGCCGATATATTGATCAAAAAGCCATCATTCAGTAACATGTACTGCAGTGTGAAAGGAACAGTAGAAGATGGGACAGAAGCGTTAGCATTTTAGGAAAACTAATGCAATATTCTGCATGTCTTAATGCACCCTTGGTGCCATGCATTGTGTTCTTGGGGGGTCAAGAACTTGAGGATAGATGGGGGGGGTCTCATGATGCCAGTGCTGAAGATAGCTTTGATGGGGCCTCTGGTGAGAGGTCTCCTCAGGAGCCCCTATATATGGGGCTGCCTCTCTCAATCTGGATGATTCCCACATCAACATGAATTGGCCCAATTCAGTTCAATGTCTGGGATTCAGCCCTATATGTGATGATTGTGGTGCTATAATGTGTTCTATCCTGCAGTAATGGATATTTGAGTTCTCACATATCGTGCTGCATGGGCTCTGTATTTCTGCAACGGTGCTGTGCATCTTGGGCCATTTCAAAATGATTTCTTCCTGTTGTTGTTTGTCTGCATTTTTATTTTCTAAGAGCTATAATCAGCGTGAGGGACAGCAGTTTGCAGCAACAGTGGAATTATTGGGCGAGGGATTGCTGGAAGGTCTGCTCCAAGGGAGGATGAAAGAATTTCATAATATATATATATATATACTTAATTCCACACACCCACAACACCTACATCCCAAAAAGAGTTCCTGTTTACACAATGGATTGGCTAAAAGTTTATTAAAAAAAAAAGTTTATTGGGGGAACAAGTTAGTATCAATTGCTGCTAACCATGGTGGATATAATTTCCCTTCCTGTCACGGTCCGGTCTACGGCGATCGAAGTCCTGGCTGAGGACGTCAAGACCGGGGGCAAGATGGTGGGGTGGGAGCAGGAACGAGAGTCCAGAAGCTAGGGGTCCGAGGGTCAGGAAGCAGGGAGTCATGAAGTCAAGGGTCTGAGGGTCGAGAAGCAATGAGCCAAACACAGCAAGGCAGGAAACATGTTGCTGTAGCGAAGAGCCGAAGGGAAACGCTGACCTTATATCCCTTCCCAGCTCTTGCCACCAGGTGCAGTGAGTTACCAAGCAGCCTCACCTGTGCGGCCGTGCCTTGCCTCCCCAGAACAAACTTAGGAAGGCCCCAGTCCTGCGAAGCCCTACTGGTCACAGGGCCCGGCTCCTGCATGCACTCCTGACACTTCCCTGTTGGAGGGAGACTGCCTCTGAATACCATTCTCTGGGAATCACAAGGGGGTAGGCTTGTCAGCTTAGGGGAAAGAGGTGCCAACAGCTGCCTCAATATTCCTAAGCAGGGGGCTCAGCCTCCTTCCCTGCCAATATTGAGGGGGGCGGAGGGGGCTGAACTGCTGAGCCAAAGCATCAAAGGCAGGGTCCTCCTGAGCGCAAGGGGGGAGAAGCTGCAGCCATTGAAGCTGTGCCACCGCAAGTCCTCCTCCTAATGTTGCAGCACGACATCACAGGCCACACCACATATTGTCCTGCTACCCCTCAATCTTCAGCCCAAGGTGGTGCCTCTGCAAGCGGAGGAGGGGCAGAGTTGCTATTGCATTCAGATTCTGCTTCTGGGCTTCCCACAAGCAGCTGGTTGGCCTCTGTGAGAACAGGATACTGCTCTAGATGGCCTTTGGCCTGATCCAACAAAGCTCTTCTTGATAGAATCATAGAACTGTAGAGCTGGAAGGTATGCCAAGAGTAATCTAGTCAAGGCTGTCTTTAGCATATGCACTGCAGGGGTGCAAAGATCTGCCCAGCGCCCGCCCCCAAATTAACATTTATTGAGCTTTTTGGGGGAGGGGGGAAGCCAAAGTTGTTAACCTTTCTTTAGGGGGGAAATTGCTCACCTGTAACAATGATGCAGTGGAAAAAAACTGCTTTTGTTTCCTGACTCGTCGGGAATATTTGACGCTACGGAGTAGCAGAGTGACGGAGGAGTGGGGACTTTCGCTCCATTGCTTTTCACGGCCGCCGATTGAGAGGGACCAGTATACAGTAGGTATACATTTGGTGCCCCCCAGAATTTGGCGCCCGGGTGCTCTGCACCCCTTGCACCCCCAAGTAAAGACAGCCCTGCATCTGGTCCAACCCCCTCTTAAAGGTAAAGTTAAAGGGACCATGACAGTTGAGTCCAGTCGTGAAAGACTCTGGGGTTGCAGCGCTCATCTCGTTTTACAGGCCAAGGGAGCCAGCGTTTGTCCGCTTTGCAGACAGTTTTTCTGGGTCATATGGGTCATGACTAACACCGACACCAGAGCAGTGCACGGAAATGCCGTTTACCTTCCCACCAGAGTGGTACCTATTAATCTACTCACACTTTTTGGTGTGCTTTCGAACTGCTAGGTTGGCAGGAGTTGGGACCGAGCAATGGGAACTCACCCCATCACAGGGATTCGAACCGCTGACCTTCTGATTGGCAAGCCCAAGGCTCAGTGGTTTAGACCACAGCACCACCCACATCCCTACCCCCTCTTAATAGTATCTTAATATATCTGTCCCATCCTCTTGAGATGCATTTCCAACACTTTCCACTTGGAGATAGTGTGATGAAACCCATGACTCTTCAAACTTGCTAATCCTGCTAACCAGGAATGCACACTTTGCTTAGGGCACATTTAGAGTATGGGGAAGGACATAAATGCATTTGGCCCAGCGCCAACATTGCTATTGCTTCTAGCTGCTGGAGAGAATGAAAATCACTGCCATCCTCATGCCACAACCAACTCCTTCCTTACTGTATCCTGCAGCTTGTAAAAAAACTGGACAGCAAAGTTCTTGCCCCAGGATCCCCACAGTGCTGCTACAGCTGATACATTGGCAAGATTTGTCTCAGTTGCTTCAAACCTCCATTCAACACGGTAGCTGAGGCCTGCAGCCATTCTTGGAATCCAAATCCCCTTGGCTACATCTGCTATGGCTAATAACCAAGGGTGATAGGAGATACAGTCAGGAGCCGAGTCCAGTTCATGACCAGCAGTGGGCCATGATGCCTGCTAAGAACTTTGTATTGTGCTCAAAACCATTACCTAGCTCTTTTCAATAACCAGAATACAGTGGTACCTCGGGTTAAGTACGATAATTCATTCCGGAGGTCTGTAGTTAACCTGAAACTGTTCTTAACCTGAAGCACCACTTTAGCTAATGGGGCCTCCTGCTGCTGCTGTGCTGCCAGAGCACGATTTCTGTTCTCATCCAGAAGCAAAGTTCTTAACCGGAAGCACTATTTCTGGGTTAGCGGAGTCTGTAACCTGAAGCGTAAGTAACCTGAAGCGTATGTAACCCCAGGTACCACTGTATGTCATCCTTCCCTCAATGCAGACTATAAGATTTGCAGCATGTTGTAAAGTAAAAGCCAAAGACCATGTGAATGATGCAAACATACATTTTAATATGATATGGAGGCTTGGGATAAACAACAGGGCAGTAAGAATGGCACATGGGATAGAGAAGGATAAATGAAATATGGTATACACAAAAGAAAAACCAAAGAGAGGGTTCAGCATCATTATTGATAACAAAGTCTCCTGCCAGGAACTAAGAGTCTGGAGGTAACTATTGCTCAATAGCTACTTCAGAGGATTTCTGATAGCATTATAGGTTCTCTTCAAGACAGTACATTGGCTCTGACCCAGACTAGTTAAACTTAGATTCCAGTCCAAATTCCATCAACTTGTCAGACAGGAGTGATCCCCAGATCTATGTGGTTTCATCTACCGAAGCTAGACAAGTTCTATTGCAAAGTCTTGTGTCCAAGGCAGTGCTTGGTGTTGGATCTGTGACAGTTGTTTCACACAAGCTTGATGTCGAAGTCACTGAATGGTGAATCCTGACTGGTCTTGGTTTCTGATTTCAGTGGGGATTTATTCCAAAAGTGAGCACAGTTACTGAAACTTCCACAACCTTCTGGTTAACAGTCATATGCATGGAAACCACATAGCTAAATGCTGCCATCAGATTCTTGGCAGCGACTCCATTTTCACAGTATCATGAAGACAGAAGAAAAGCAAAGGGTTGCATCCTTTGTTAACCCTGCTCAGAGTAGGCCCATAGAAATGAATGGGTTTGACCAACTGGTCCATTAATTCCAATGGGTCTATTCTGAGCATGATTTGGTTAGAGCTAACTCAACATCTTTCATCATGCATTCAGGGATGTTGGGCTGAGCTCATCTTGGTGGGTTAGACATTGAGCCAATGAAAACTAAGACAAAATGGAGATGGTCAGGACTTGGTTAGGAAGTCTAATCCATGACTTGACTTCCTCAGAAAGAACATGAACTTCATCCTCTTGTCAGCTCCTGTCCACCATTAGAGCAGCACTTAATTTCATTTGCCTGACGTTACAGAATGAAGAATTTAGCATATTCAACTGTGACAGAAAACAGGGGAACTGAATCAGATACGGAGGAGGTGTGGAAAGGGATATATAGCTCAGGGGAAGAACTTGGTCAAAAAGACATCTGGACATGATTCCCACCCCCCACCCAGAGCTACTGAGCACCCAGAGCTCACTACAAGAAGTTGGGTGCTCAGCATTTCCAGGATCCATGCATGTAACCATGGGTTGGTATCTAGCCATTCATCTTCCTGCTGGCTGTTCTTCTCGTAACCAGTTGGGGGGCATTCTAATACCTTCTGTAACCATAGGAGCTGAAAGGACGGCTGGAGAGACCTGGCAGGTTGTAGACAGAGCCAGACTCGGAGGCCTCTGAAGGAAGAAGGGCAGGGTATCTGCTCCCGCCTAGCATGCCGTAGCCGGCACACGGGTTGTATTGCTCGATGCCAAAAACTTGGTTGGGGCAGTACATCTCTGGTCCTGGGATGGTCACCACGAAGGGCGGAGGCTGGATCGTCACGGTTGATGGTGGGCATTGAAAGGCGCAGTTATTGTAGCCAAAGGAAGACATCTTGAGGTTCAGGTTTCTAGAAGGTATTATTATTATTATTATTATTATTATTATTATTATTATTATTATTAATTATCTGTCACCTATATACCAAATGGCTTTCAAGTGGTTTAAAACTCTAAAATAGGCTTCCTCAACCTCGGCCCTCCAGATGTTTTGAGACTACAATTCCCATCATCCCTGACCACTGGTCCTGCTAGCTAGGGATCGTGGGAGTTGTAGGCCAAAAACATCTGGAGAGCCGAGGTTGACGAAGCCTGCTCTAAAATAAATCCATAAGTAAAATATACAATAACATTAAAACAACCTTAATCATAACATCCAATACTAGGGGCTGTCTTCCTTGCACAATCTTCTCATCACCCCCACCTACGCCTTTGCCAACTGCTGTTTCCCCACACCTTTGATAATAATTTTTATTAGTTTCCAGTTTCAATCCAATAATAGCCTCATTGTGACAAAAAGCAATGTATAATACAATTACTAATACCAATCGTTCAAATACCGAATTATATCATTTTTCATGCTAGAAATGATGGTTTGATGGTTTTCTTTATTTCTGCATTCCAAAATCTTATTAATTTCAATTACATTCCGGTCATAATAATAATCCCTTATTCAACAACTGCAATATTAATAACTTCTATTCATGTTGACACATTAAATGATTTATAACACTACAAGCGAGGAACTCAAACTATATCCTTGTTCTTCATGTGTGTGTCCCCACACCTGACCAAACCACTTTCCCTTTAGACCTCACCCATCCCCTCAGTCCCCACCCTCCCTCACAGCTCACCCAACTCTCACACCTTTTAATGAAGGGGAAGGTGTGTTTTTTTATAGTGGCTAGCTAAACCACTATGTAATGTGCCTCCCCCCTCCATTAAACAGCGTGTCTGGACCTGCCCATACTACTTCCTTGCCCACCTATCTGCTTGCCTTCCTGCCATTTGCTACACTGTGGTTGGTGTGGCCGCCTGCTGGAGCCCAAGCAAACTGCAGTGTGGCAACATTTTGCATTTTATGTATATGGGAAGAAAACAATCCATTTGAAAGGCTAAAACTCTTCCACTGAATTACAGTCAGTGTTATTTTTCTAGAAAGAGAGGCGCCGGAACTCACCATGAACGCCTCCCTTGTTCTCTTATAATGGCACAATGGCGCCCTCCTGAGAAATGCCAAAATTGAGTTCTGGTGAGTTCCAGCTGAAAAAAGCCCAATCCTCATGGTTCTCAAAAAAGGACTGATTTAAATAGGAACGTAGCAAGCTGCCTCATGCAGAGATATAGCATTGGTTCACATAGCTCAGAATTGTCTACAGTGACTGGCTGTAGCTCTCCAGGGTTCCAGACAGGGACCAATTCAAACCCTATCTGATATGGGTTGTGCTGGAACCTTCTGCATGTAAATCATGGAATCACAGAATTGTAGAGTTGGAAGGGACCCTGAGGGTCATCTGGTCCAACCACCTGCCATCTCAGCTAGAGCATCCATGACAGATGGCCACCCAACCTCTGCTTAAAAACCTCCACTGTCAAACAGCTCCTACTGTCATAAAACTCTTCCTGAGCTTTCTGTTTAGTCAAACTCTCCTTTCTTGTAATCCATGACAGATGGCCACCCAACCTCTGCTTAAAAACCTCCACTGTCAAACAGTTCCTACTGTCATAAAACTCTTCCTGAGCTTTCTGTTTAGTCAAACTCTCCTTTCTTGTAACTTCAATCCATTGGTTCGAGTCCTACCCTCCAGAGCAGGAGAAAACAAGCTTGTTCCCTCTTCCATGTGACAGCCCTTGAGATATTTGAAGATGACTATCATAACTCCCTCAATCTCCTTTTTTCCAGGCTAAACATACCCAGTTCCTTCAACCGTTCCTCATAAGGCTTGGTTTCCAGATCCTTGATCATCTTGGTTGCCCTCTTCTGCACACTTTCTAGCTGCCCTATATCAAATCAGATCATTGGTCCATCACTGACTGGAAATAGCTCTCCAAGGTTTCCAACCCTACCTGAAGGTGCCGTGGATTGAAATTGACCTCCTGCATGCTCTGCTATAGCACTTCCCTTAAGCAACATGTTTTACAATACTAGTTTTGAGGTTTCCTCCCTTCACTGTTATCTTTCACGTGAGCAATGAAGAGAAGGAAATTGTCTTGCGCAAGAGCCCTTCAGACCCCAGAGATTAGATTGGCTCTGAATTTTCCTTCAGATGAACCTTCACCATCAACTCTAAAGATATTTTAAGAGTTACAGGAGCTCCTTTCAATGGCACAAAGCCAGACTGAGAAGGGGACACACACACAGAGAGAGAGACAGAGAGAGAGAGAGAGAGAGAGAGAGAGAGAGAGAGAATGAAATTTATCTTACTGGGTTCTCCAGAGACACACGGCAGAGCAGAGGGGTCGAAGCAATGGAAGGAACTGATGCTTGAGTCCAAGCCTTCCAGCAACTTTTATACTGTTTCTCAGTTAGCCCAGAGGGCATGAGGCATCCTTTCTTCCCTCTATGCTATGCCAATTAATTGCCAATGATATGTCACTTAGTGTGTCAACACACCCAAAATGACTCCAATTATTTATTGCTTACATCTGATCTTTGATTTGCCCAACAGGTGAAAGGAAGAAAAAATTGCCATGCATGCTGCTTTTTCCACAAGGAGGATCAGCATGCCTCAAAACCATTAAGGGATAAAGGCCCCAGCAATGACACATAGATGGACTTAAGGTGCTTGCTTGGGTGCCCTTGGATATTGCTGGAGAAATGCTGAACACGGACATATTTGGGAAACTAGAGGATTAATCTGGGGTTGTGCATCTGTGGGGGAATCAGGAGAAGACTAAGGGACATAATAGACCACATCTGCAAAGGTAAAGGTAAAGAACCCCTGGAAGGTTCAGTCCAGTCAAAGGTGACTATGGAGTTGTGGTGCTCATCTCGCTTTCAGGCTGAGGGAGCCGGCGTTTGTCCACACACAGCTTTCCGGGTCATGTGGCCAGCAGGACTAAAACACTTCTGGCACAACAGAACACCATGGCAGAAACCAGAGAGCATGGAAACACCGTTTACTTTCCCACCATAGCAGTACCTATTTATCTACTTACACTTTGACATGCTTTCGAACTGTTAGGTTGGCAGGAGCTGGGACAGAGCAACGGGAACTTACTCTGTTGCGGGGATTTGAACCGCTGGCCTTCTGATCGGAAGCCCAAGAGGCTCAGTGGTTTAGACCACAGTGCCACCCGTGTCCACATCTGCACCCTGTATTTAAAGCAGTATGATACCACAGTCACAGCTTCTCCAGAGGATCAAGGGGGCAACGTGACATACTGACATCACACACATGATGTCATGTGATGTCCTCTGAATACTGAGGTGGCCTGGCCCCCTAAATATATATATATATATATATTTGGGGAGCTGAAACTGCCTCAGCCCCTAGGAGTCAGTGCCCTTGATCCTGGGAACTGTGTAGATTGTTAAGGGTACAGAGAGTTGTTAGGACGAGAGCATCACTTGTCTCCCAGAGCTACAATTCTCAACATTCCCTCTGAAGATGGGTTGATTCTTAAAGCACTCTGGGAATTGTACGTATGTGAGGGAGAACAGGGGCCTCCTAACAACTATCAGCTAGATGGGCCATTGGCCTGGACTGGCTGTCTGTGTCTCTATTTAGTCAGTCCTCTTTTCAGAACCATGAGGACTGGATACCTTGTTCTAAAAATGAAGAAAGATTGTAGCTCAGTGGTAGAACATCTGTTTTGCATGTAGAAGGTCCCAAGTTCCATCCCCAGCATCTCCAGGTAGGGCATGGAAAGGCTACCCATCTGAAGCCCTGGGGAGTCACTGTCAGTCAGCAGAAATAATAGTTAACTAGTTGGCTATGATTCTATGACTACTGGTCTGATTTGAGTCCTACATTGATTGATCCTGTAGGCATCCTACTGTGGTGCAATAGTACCAAAAAGGGTTGAGCTTTTTTTTGAGGGGGAAAGTAAAGCCCTGAGTGTCTCTATCCCATCATTCAGCCCAGACATTGAGGTCCACCTCTGAGGGCCTTCTGGTGATTCCTTCACTGCAAGAAATGAAATTACAGGGAAACAGGCAGAGGGCCTTCTTGGCAGTGGCACCTAACACCAGAATGCCTTATTTGGTTATACAGTGGTACCTCGGGTTACATACACTTTAGGTTACAGATGCTTCAGGTTACAGACTCCGCTAACCCAGAAATAGTACCTCGGGTTAAGAACTTTGCTTCAGGATGAGAACAGAAATCATGCTCTGGCGGCGTGGCGGCAGCAGGAGGCCCCATTAGCTAAGAACAGGTTAAGAACAGTTTCAGATTCAGAACGGACCTCCAGAATGAATTAAGTTCTTAACCCTAGGTACCAGTGTACAATGTTTTGAAGACATCTGAAGGCAGATCTGTATAGGGAAGTTTGTAACATGTGATGTTCTATTATGCTTTTATATTTGTTGGAAGCCACCCAGAGTGGCAGGGCAACCCAGTCAGATATTATTATTATTATTATTATTATTATTATTATTATTATTATTATTATCCGGGGACATATGTATGTGCATTCCATTGCTGATCATACCAGTGGTTCAACCACACCATTACCACACTTCAGCCAGTGGTCAGATAGCATAACCAGGCAACACTATAGGATTTAATTAGATAATGGCTTGTCATTTCCATATCCCATAATCACTACCACAGAAAGGTGATGAGCTGCTTGCTGTGCAAAGTTTTCATTTGCCATCTAGCTGAGTTTTTAGCCATACCATATTGCTACAGGGCAGGTGGGTTTGGCAAAGATCCTGATGTCCTTTCAGAAATGCTTTGTTGCCAGCTGTCAGGGACTGGACTGAAGGGGACAAGATGAAGGAGGAATGGTGGAGATCACACCTTCTTCTCTTGAAGCTGCCAGAGAAGAGGGAAGCAGTATTGAATTACTGTAGTGGTTTGAGGACGGTCACAGCTCAGAGACAGGTGAACAGAAGAGCTGGGCGTTGTTGGAAGAAGAGATAAGGAAAACCGAGAGAGCAGCCAGATGACATGTCATCACTGGAGAGTATTTCTGAATTCCCTACTCCCAGTGTGGTCGTTGAGAGTGCAAGAGCAAAGGACTCAGAGACAATTAACCCCTGTCGGCCTGCGTAAAGGTAAAGGGAGTTGCTGTTACTAGGAAAGGAGGGGGAGAGGAGCTCTGTTGGAGCAAGGCCATTAACAGAGGCAGACTTCATTCCTTGTCTCCTGCTGTGATGATTGAATAAACTCATTAGTAAGATCTCTGCTTTGTTATCTCTGCTTCCTGCTGTCATCCAGTGCAAAGGAAAGAATTCCCCGAAGCTTGACACCAGCACACCAGAAGGAAGACTCAAGATGAAGATTATGGGGAATGAGTTATATTTATCAAATTAGAGCAGGGGTCAGCAGACTTTTCCAGCAGGGGGCCGGTCCACTGTCCCTCAGACCTTGTGGGGGGCCGGACTATATATTGAAGGGGGAAAATGAATGAATTCCTATGCCCCACAGATAACCCAGAGGTGCATGTTAAAGAAAAGCACACATTCTACTCATGTAAAAACACGCTGATTCCAGGACGGTCTGCAGTCCAGATTTAGAAGGAGATTGGGCCGGATCCAGCCCCCAGGCCTTAGATTGCCTACCCATGAATTAGAGGGTGTGTGCATACTCAAACCACATTGGTTGTTTAGTCGTTTAGTCGTGTCCGACTCTTTGTGACCCCATGGACCAGAGCACGCCAGGCACTCCTGTCTTCCACTGTCTCCCACAGCTTGGTCAAACTCATGCTGGTAGCTTCAAGAACACTGTCCAACCATCTCATCCTCTGTCGTCCCCTTCTCCTTGTGCCCTCAATCTTTCCCATCATCAGGGTCTTTTCCAGGGAGTCTTCTCTTCTCATGAGATGGCCAGAGTATTGGAGCCTCAGCTTCAGGATCTGTCCTTCCAGTGAGCACTCAGGGCTGATTTCCTTCAGAATGGATAGGTTTGATCTTCTTGCAGTCCATGGGACTCTCAAGTGTCTCCTCCAGCACCATAATACAAAAGCATTGATTCTTCAGCGATCAGCCTTCTTTATGGTCCAGCTCTCACTTCCATACACTTCCATACATCACTACTGGCAAACCACATTAACCAAATCAAATACGTCTAGGCAGGAGCATTGCAATAAGATGCAGGAATTCTTTGCCTCCCATCTCCTAGTCCTGCACATAATGACATGCTGTAGCCACACAGCAAATTTGGGCAAAAAATCCCCCTCCCATGTTGAGTGTGCGCTGAGTGTATGGACCAGACAGGCACACTGGTATTATCAATCAGAAAACCACAGTTCCATAATGCAACAAGTACTGTAGTGTGAAAGAAACATTAGAAAATGAGATAGAAGCACTAGCATTAAAATCAGGAAAACCAACACAACAGTCCCCACCTCTGAATGCACCCATCTTAAACCTTCCCCCAAAATCCATCAAAGAACTCTCCTCAACAACAAGCTAATGGTTTTGCCTCAAATTGCATTCTGGGGCGGGGGGAGGGAATCAGTTGTTTATTTATTTATTATTTTTAAAATTTCTATACCAGCCTTCATCTAAGGATCACAGGATGGTTTACAATATAAAAGAAGAAAAATACACACTGCTTTTTTTCTGGGGGGACGTAAGGGGATGCATACTCCTGAACATTTTGTGAATCTTTGTACTTTGTACTTTTGTCCATTAACTGTATTTATTTTTCCCAATTTGAACTATAAAATGGTGATTTTCTTGAGTCAAAATGAGAATACCCTTAAATATATTTTTTTTAGAAAAAAATTACTGAAAATACATAACAGTGACAACAAAAACAAGGATTTCCCACCACACACACACACAGAGAGAGAGAGAGAGAGAGAGAGAGGGAGAGAGAGAGAGAGAATTTAAAAGGCCACCAAAGGCTTAGGTCATGGGTAGGGAAACTAAGGCCCGAGGGCTGGATCCGGCCCAATCGCCTTCTAAATCCGGCCTGCAGACAGTCTGGGAATCAGCGTGTTTTTACATGAGTAGAATGTGTCCTTTTATTTAAAATGCATCTCTGGGTTATTTGTGGGGCATAGGAATTCATTCTTTTTTTTTTTCTTTTCCAAAATATAGTCTGGCCGCCCACAAGGTCTGAGGGACAGTGGACCGGGCCCCTGCTGAAAAAGTTTGCTGACCCCTGGCTTAGGTGAAGAGGAATGCTTTTGCCCTGTTGTAATGTAATGAAAGTGCCTGGCAAGCTTCCCTGGGGAGAGCATTTCACAAATGGGGAACATACACAGATAAGGCCCATTCTCGTGTTGCCACCCTCTGGAGGGGCACACAAAGAAGGGCCTTTGAAGATAATGACAGGGTCCAGGTCAGTTCATGTGGTGAGAATTTACCCCCTCTCAAATGAAGCAAGGAATTGGCAACTGCACCACATAGCAGTTTCAAAACTGCAACCCAAGTGTGGATTTTGTGGGGCAGTTGGACAAAATACCTTCAAAGGCATTTTTAAGCTAACATTCCTCTTTGAGGTAGAGCAGCTGGTTCATGCAAGCAATCAGTGATGCAATAGGCTTTGCTAATGCAAGTCATTAGCAGTTGCTTGCAAAGCACTCAATGCAAAACTGCCTTTATCAAGGGATCCATCTTTGCCTCTCCCTCTAAATCACATCAGTTTTTCCCCCATTGTGATATGCTCTGATAGGTGGCACCCTTTTGATGTCTGATTTGCATGTGATGCTTCTGTGGATTCCATACAAACACCCTTTGATATTTAATCTGAATGTATCTGATTCCCCAGCTGTGCTGTAATACTGCTTACAGCAGGCATTCTCCAGTGTTGGTGGGGAAAATAGGGACATTCCAGGATCAACTCTGAAGTCAGGGAGGCTTTCATAGTTCTAGTTGTGTCCCTGGAAAATTGGGACACTTGTAGGGTCTGGGAGTTCAATGCGCTATACGTAGGTCTAACTCTGAAGACGGTTCGGAAACTTCAGCTAGTGTGGAATTCAGCAGCCAGGTTGTTCTCCAGAACAAGATGGTTTGAGCATATTACACTGATCCTGTTTAGGGAAGTTTAGGGAAGCTTTTAATATCTGAAGGACTATTGTATTTTAATATTTTGTTGGAAGTCTCCCAGAGTGACTGGGGAAACCCAACCAGATGGGTGGGGTATAAATAATAAATAAATAAATAAATCATCATCATCATCCTGGTCCAACTGCACTGACTACCAATTAGTTTCTGGGCCCAATTCCAAGTGCTGGTTTTGACCAATAAAGCCTTAAACGGCTCAGGACCGCAATACCTCAAGCACTGCGTCTTTCCATATGAACCTACCCGGACCCTGAGATCATCTTCTGAGGCCCTCCTTCATGTGTCTCCTCCATGAGAGGTCCAGAGGGTGGCAACTTGAGAACGGGACCTTCTCTGCAGTGGCTCCCTGTCTGTGGAATGCTCTCCCCAGGGAAGTTCGCCTGGCGCCTTCATTATACACCTTAGGCACCAGGCAAAAACTTTCCTTTTTAACCAGGCCTTTGGTTGACCTGATTGACATCCTATAACCTTTTAAAATGTGGCTCTTTTGGGTGGGTGGGTGTGTTATTGGGTTATTGTTTTTATTTTGGTTTTATATACTGTGATCTTTTCTGTGAACTGCCCTGAGGCTTCCATGTATAGGGTGGTATATAAATTCAATTAGCAGCAGCAGCAGCAGCAGCAGCAACAACAAAAACAAAGTTTGGAGGGCCATGGACTCCCTGTCTGATT